CCCCAAAACCCCAAAACCCCAAAACCCCTTTAGTCTAAATTAGATTGACAAATTGAGTAAAACAAAAGCATAAAGCATGCTTGCACTTGGACTACTCCAAAGCTTAGCATTTAATTTTGAGGTTCAAAATCAGCAATGTCCCACACATCAAGAGGAGAATAGCTGATAATGTCCTCTTGTATAAAGTAATGGTCAATCAACTTCTTGGCAGCTACCAATTTCTCCTCTCTGAGATTGTTAAATCTGTATCCATTGAACTTGAAATTGACAAGCGTTTTGCAGGTTTTTAGGATCTTGGATAAGAAAATATGATCCTCCTGATTCTTGTCATAATCATAAGACTTTATAAAGATAGAGAGCTTCTTGAGGTTAATCCCTGCAACTAGTTCAATAATGTTCTTAAGGGAGCTTAAAGATTTGTATACTTCCAGGCTTAATGAAATATTTGAGCTACTGTCAATTTTGCTAACTACTTCGTAGATCTTAAAATATGTGTCTTCAAATTTACTTGTGAAAGAGTCTTCGCTCATGCCATTCCCATCCTTGCTTTCAAGGATGATCTCTGAGGAGTTTGAGATAGGAAGGTTGTCTATCATCCTTATACTAATATTCTTAGCGTATATCTTATTAATCTGGGGCTGCTTTCTTGTAAACTTCCACGCAGCACTCCTAATATTATGATTAGGAATCACCAACAGCGGGAATTTTTGTATCTCCTGATTATTGAGAAATTTCAAGCAATCAAAATAAATTTGAGAGGGTTTGAAGGATACATCAGTTGGCTGAAACAATATTCCCTGCACATCATACAGCAAGATAAAGTTCTGATCGACAGTTGCTGTGTCTGCTTCCTGGTGCAGGATTATGTTCAGATTCTCAACTTTTACATATTGAATAGAGGAGGATGGGTCTTTTTGAAAGAAAATAAATGATTCACTTTTGACAATATCCTTTTCTAATCTGGATTCTCCAAGAAAGCTAATCTTCTTGAACTTATTTTAAACAGTGTCAACTTAGTAATTTAGTTAAATTTTCCATGCTATTTCTGTCAAAAAGAGAACTTACTTGAAAACTTCAGTTTTGAACTCGTAACAGCCGATGAGAGGGAAATTACCCAGGATTGATCCACAAAGAACTTCGAGACAGTCGAGGTCATTATAATCAGCATTGATAACTGTAACTTTGTTGATAATATTGCCCAACTTTTTCGAAATAGAAGTTACCTTTTCTGACAGATATTGAAGAGCATCTATTCCGACAATCATCTTTTTGTCAGGCAGGTCAAAAGAGAACTTGACTGCTTTTCCGTTAGGCCCAAGCCTAGAGAGATGGATATCTCTGTACTTAACGATGTATGCCATGTTCAACTTATACTTCTCAATAAAAGGGAACTTAGCTTCACAAAGTGCATGGACGATAAGTATCTTAGATTCATCGATGCCAAAGCTGACAATCTTGGAGTACATATCTATGAAGAACTCGCTATCGTCTTCATTGATAATATACATTGTCACAAAGGTAAAGGATTTGTAAATATCACTTTTGCCCAGATCCTTAGCTGACTTGAGTAGGAACAAGAAGTGGTTAGTAGAGGTTTTTGAGGTTAGGACTACAGAAGGAAGTAAGAATTTAGCAACGAGAGAAGAGAGGAGACTGAAAGAAGTAGTAGAAGAATAGATTAAGGTTTCATATAAGTTCTAGGGCAATCGGATGTAAAAGTACTTTTTGATCAGATAGGATGCATGTTCCTCACTTACCGATATTTATCTTTACTTTTCTGTAAGAATCGTTTTCAAGTAAGGTTCTGCCCATTCATGGGGTGAAATTCTCCAAACTTACTCCTGAGTTAACTATCTTATCTTGGTCTTTATAGTTGAACCCTTTTTGATGATCAAGGTAACACTTCTGAGTCCCTTTCGAAATTGAATTCATCAAATACCTGCATCCATTGGACGAAGTCAAATACTCCATTATCCACACTACACAAACCTAGTCAAAACCCCCTCTCTTTCCCCTCCCAGTGCGCCCCCTTGTGCTTCCAACCCGCCTGTACGTACCTCAGTGACTAAACTTCGTGAGAAGAGAACTTAAGTGGTAACTCTCCATTCTGGTTAAAAGATGTAAATATTCAGTTATAGTTTATTTTTTGGGGTTTTGGGGTTTTGGGGTTTTGGGGTTTTGGGG